GCTGGAAACCTGGACATGATGACAATGATTGATCTAACACACACACACACACACAGATGCATTCGTAGGAAATGCAACAATTCTGAAATCTGTCATTTGTTAATGCTCTCTAACCTTCATTTATCTGCAGAAGGACGTCATGGGTTTTGACCGAACGACTTTTTGTTAAACATAAACTGATGCTTTCGAGACAATGAGAGAAATTCAGGACACGTTTAAAACTGGGTCACATGAGGGCCTTTCATGAACAAAACCTTTGTTATTGATTGGTGCAGTTTTTTTTTCTGTCCACAGTATTTGCTTGGATTCTGATTTGTACGATCGTATAAAAATAAATTGAATTTGCGTCACAGTAAAAATATTTTTCTCACAGAATTTGAGCAATATCTTCAGGACCCAAAAACGAACCACGTTAAGGTTCAGGTTAAGGTGGAACTTGTCCTTAACTTGGTACGTTTCTGGGTCCTCAACACAGCATCACCATGATGATGATAAACCTCGTGACATCTGTTTGTATACTGAGTAGTGTGTCTTACAAACAAAAGTTTTCCCACTGATAACGCTAAGATAATATTTGTCTTTTTGGTTGTTTTAGAAAGGTCTAAGTTAATTACTCGGTTGCAGATTTTAGAATTCAAATAGATTTTCGAATTTTAGAAAAAAAGATAATCAGATCTGTTGAAGAAGACCTTTGTGAGTGTCTTTCTTCAATTCCTGCCAGTGTATAAGCATGGTCTTCAACTAAACAGGAAACAATTTTAGTCAATTATGAGGTCATTTAAACTAGAATATTATTATATTTCATTACATATACCTTTTGTTGCATTTTTGTTTGGTGGTGTGTCTTGGGGTTTTTCCTGATGATATATATATATCTATATATATGTGGCTCAAAAGGGTTGGGAAACACTGGTCAGGCCTATGATGAGTCAATGGGCCTGAATGTCTTCTTCTGGCTCTACAGTAAGTGGTCTGACCCCATCGTATTCTAGCTATCAACACCCAACATCACCAACCCCGAAAAAAACCTGGTCTCTAGTCTTGACTGCCAGTCCTGTGGTAAACCGGAGGAAATGTGGGGAAGAGTGTAAGACTGGGCTGGAGAAATAGACAAATATTAAAGTCAGGGCTAGACATAAGTAAAAGAAACAGAGAAAAAAACCCATCTGGTAGCATTTAAACTGTCTTTCTTGTCACTGACTGTCTCTTCCTGCTTTGCTCATTAATATCTCTCACTCCTCTGTACGTGTGTGCGCTCACAGTACGGAACCAAACAGTTCCTACAAGCTGAGGATCAAAACATCTGTTTACATGGGCAGACCACAGGCTGGATTCCTGCTCTTTGATTGGCTGCTGAGGCTTTGCATCTGTAATCTTCAATGGAGGAGCTGCTTTTGTAATCCTAACATAATTTTTACCCTCGCTGGACTATTAGGAGGCATTTAAGGTCAACCAAAGAAATGTTGAAAGTAATGTTTCACCTATAAGTTTGGACCACTGGGCAGGAGGACGGAACAGTGGGTACTGTTTCGGGAAGGCCTGTGGGCTCCAGTGACCTGTAAAGACCAGGATGTAGGAAGCGGGACCCTTGGCTGTGCAGTCCGTCCCATTGAGTGGTCGTAAAGGCCCCGCAAAAGTGAAGCAGAGCTTCAGAAGCACGACGAGGAGCTGCTGCAGCCAACCACAGTTCAGGTGCTGTGATGACATCATCTGGAAGAAATGGAGAAATGAAAAATGCTTGTGAGAAGTTTTACTCACCCATCATTGGTGTGTATCAGGTTTGCACATGGTTTAGTTGAAATGAAAAAAATCTGCACGTAGACTTGTCCTTTTTTTTTTTTTTTTTTTTTTTTAAATGTGCGGTGTATTTTGAACTGAAAAGCTGCTGAAATAGCACTTTGGCACCAGAGCCTCGGCAAACAAATGGAAGGATCCTAACATGTACATTGAGGAAACCAAACCCAGACAATTCTGGAAAATCAGCGTAAGAAGGGAAATTCCACGCCTCTGACCTCATATCACACATTGATTTTATCAGAGAACTCAGATTCATGAACCCTTTGACCCCGAGGCCACTGTTTGAAATAAATCTCCGAAAAGTTCAAGTGAAGACAAGGCTAACAATAACCTAAGCTCATCCCCTCCGCTGAGCTCTGAGCGTTGCTGCGCTGCCAATATGTGGCCACACGGCAGAACATTTAACATTCGTCATTGTCACAGTGATGTCTGCCACAGGAGAGGCCCGAAAATAAAACTTCATGGCTGAGAGTGGATGTAACTCCTGCTGCTCTACTGACCTCACCGACTGACCATGCACTGACCACTGCTGAGTCACAGAGACACGTTCTGGTCAGACATGTGCACAAGGACGGTTATTGGTGAGAACACTTTTCAGGTTTTGCATCAGGCGTGGGAAAACTTTTGGACTTACGGGCCATAATGGGTCCTAAAAGTTGACGAGGGAGCTGGGTGATGAGCAGAAAGATGGAGCATTCGTGTAAATTAAGATGACATTTAAAAGTAATGCATAAAGGCTAAAATGCTAAAATGCTTTTAGCCTATGCCATCTATTGGGGAAATGTGGGCATTGCAGGGAAAAGGATGGAGCACGGAAAACAGAGGTATAATGATAACATAAATTCATAACATAATTTTGATATGGTTGGCGGCCGGAATAAAAAGCCGAGCGGGCCGCATTAGGCCCCCAGGCCGTAGTTTGCCCAGGCCTGTTCAGCACACTGTAAAGTGGGTCTCACCCAGAAAAGGTCAAGATGAGGATGAGTTCTGGTGTGCAGCCCAAAGTTTACATGCCAAATATGGGTTACTGGAGCCCAGATATTCATCAGTGCGTGTTTGTGTGCCAGGAGAAATGGGTTGTGGGCCAGACCAAAATACAAAATATCCATCTCTTAAAAAAAATGTTATTTTAATTTGCTCAAATTACAACATAAAAATCGTTCCTCGGAAATCATCAAGGTTTCTTGTCAGTTGACACAGTTTTCATATAGTTACAAAACCTCCATACGTCTCGGGCCAACAGACGTACGAGAACACTTTCCCTGAACGCATTTCAAGGAAATTACTTTGGACTGAAATAACATCATCCATTTTTTTTTTCAACTCAAAAAACTGTGATGTTATTTCACTTATGTCCTGTTTTACTGGCAGATGGTCTAACTTTGAAACAACAGTTTATGACTTGACGACAGATGAATTCTTCTGTGTTTGAGAGTTATAGAAAAGGAAAGTAATGTTTGGTGGCTGCAGCCCTGTGTGGCAATTCTAATACTACAGCGGAACATCAAGCAGCTGCTCAGGGCACACAGTTAAATATGGGCAAGTCCACTGCTGTGCCAACATTCACATGCATGCAAATGTAAATGCTGTGTGCGCACACACACACACACACACACACCAAACAGAGGCTGAGGTCCAGCCTCGTTTCGTCCCTGAGGTCTATTTACGAGGCTCAGATTGAATTCCCCTGCAAATATAGCCTAAACTCCAACTCTGACACTTTTCTAACCCCAGCCTTAAATGTCAAGGAGTTTTATCATTTCAATTTCTCCCCTTAATGTATATCCACCCCTGCAGAGCTCAACACTGAGCCAGAGAAATCCCTCCTGTGCGCAGCCTCGCGGTGCCCAGTATCAGTCATCTCATCATCTCTAGTGTCTGCGTTTGTTTTTCTTTGGGAAAAATGACATCACAATATAATCTCCAGTTTTTGACCCACATTCAGAGACGGTATAGCCGTTGAGGTTTTTTCACATCTCGATGTGATCTTTACTGCTACTGTCCCGTCAACGCCAACCAGTACATTTGGGATAGAAAAGGAGGTCAGTTCTGTGACGGGCTGTTTCACAAGATGTCCTTCTTTTTCTGGCTTTTCCACCCACTTTCACACATACAAAAAGCAAACCCCAAACTTTATGAAAAAATATAAGCCAGCTCACAGAAACCAAAATGTTAAATGATACCAAAAAAGTTTAAATTAAGTAAAATTGAAAATGCCCAGCTTATACCCAGCTTATAGACAGAAAAGACAGTTTTCATATACCCAGCTTATAGACAGAAAAGACAAAAATCAGTAAAAATAGAGTAGTTAGAAATACAAAGAAGTCGCTAAAATGTCTCTTAAAATTAACTAAAACGGATTACTAACCGTTGTCATTCAAATTAGATTAAAATAATATAGAAAATAACCTAAAGCTAACAACTGAGCTCAAACGTAGCCAAAAATATATTAAAAGGCTAAAGGAATGCTAACAAGATGACAGAATTCAGAATTAGCATTGCAATAGCCAGATGCTAGCCGGATGATAGCATAAAGGTAACTCAAAAGACTGAAATATATTTAGAAATTGCCAGAAGTTAACCTGAAACATGTCTATTGTTACTGTAAAAAAAGTAAAAATGAACCCAAAGCTAAAGTGCTAAAGTGCTAAAGTGTTAGCCTTAAAAGTGTCATAAACCAAGTAAAACTAAGCTAAATAACAAAACAGAATATGTAGTTGTACATTCAATCACGTTGGAATGATCTCAAATACCACAGAAATAAGTACTGGGACCAAAAAGCCCAAATTCTTACCCTGATAGGAACAGTAAGAGCACTCATCCATAACTTCTACTGAATGACTCCGGGGAACCTCGTTTTCTTTTATTGTCCTCACATGGCTACAGGTTTGGTTGTAACCCCATCAGGTGATAAATACCGGTACTTACACACATACACACATTCCAGTCAGTGGGAGATGAACTTTTTTTTCTGTTTTAGTGGAGGTTCACATCATGCATCTTGTTAAATTTTAGGGTCATCCATTCAACAGCTGGTGCTCACTGAGATTTGAGTGGAGCAGGAGAAGCGTCCACCTTCCCTCTGAACTTGTCACACTGACACTGTAGCATGCTATAGAGACATTTCTTAAATTTCAACACATACACACTGAGCCTCATCAGTCAACCAGCAGGTCAAGTCTCTGCTGCTGCTGCTGCTGCTGCTGCTGCTGCTGCACCACCACTGGGCAGCACCAATACAGACCATATGGTATTTATTCCTGCACACACAGGAAGACATATTCAACATCAAACTCACACTGACGTGCACTCACGCCAGCGACATGCTCTCATCACTCAGCTTAGTCAGGCACAAGACCTAATAAAATAAAGGGATGTGGTAACGGAGCCAAACGCAGTCACAGCGCCCCACGGCTTCCTCCACTGTGTAATTACAGCAGCTTCACGCAGGGTTTATACACCCGCTCGCTTCAGCCCACATACACAGGTAACGCCAAGTGAGCACGCACCATAAAATATTTGTCCGCGCAGAGGGAGGTGAGTTGATTTTTCAACAAGGAAGATAATTGGTTTGGGGTTTGTTTTTTCTCTCTCTCTCTCTCTCTCTCTCTCTCTCTCTCTGCTGGTGAAAAGACTCAGTTGTGATGATGAAGCTTTTCACACAGCCATGAACAAAGTGCACTGACACACTTTGTCAGGA